AAAAAAATTATTTGCCTGAATTATTTCTCATTTCTTCCTTACCTTCCACCCCCAGTTTTGTCCACCTCTATAAAGCACTGCCAATTAGGAATAGCTGGGGTACTGACAATAGTGCCACTCCAGGATTGGCAATGTGTTTCTGTTTCATCACTATCACCCCCTGGCCTCTAAGGGAGCGCTGATCCTTATCTTTCTATACATCAAACTATGGCAAAGGCAAATAAAACAAAACATAATTTCCTATGCTGACAAATTCACACGGGATCCAAAGAGTGACAAGACAACTTTTATTTTCTAGACTATGAGCACTTGAAGTGCTGAAGTGTATTTTATTCATCTGCATGTATCATAAACCATAGAGCAACATCTGACACATAGTAGATGCTCAGTAAGTTCTCATCAAAAGAATGTAACTATGAATGAAGGTAAAATAAAACGGGAGTCGTGAAAGTCAAGAGTTTCAGAAATTTCCAAATGATTCTTTATACTAGGCAAATCTACAGTTTAACTCTTGCTAGTACACATTTGTTATTGAGGATTTTATCTCTAACTATCTTTACTATCTAATCTCCAGGACTAAAACAAGACAGGCAGTACCACATTCTGCTCAGACTTTTCATCAAAAAGACCATCATCAAACAGACAGATATTATGTTGATGCATGAATCAGAGTCATGCAAAACCAGATTAAATTCTGAATTCTTACTTAGTGTCTCTTTTTGAATATGACTTTGGGACGTTCAGTAATCATTGTTTTATAAATTATCTTTTTGCATGTTTTTCTATTTTTCTCCATATTTTCATTTAGATTATAAAAGTTCACAGTAGGAAACCTCTCATTGTTAACATTTCACAGCCTAAATAGTTGGGTATCAAAAATAAGGTAATCTGTTTCTATATCTGATTTAGTGTCTTGGGACCCTTTGGTTTAAACTTGTTAATTTTTCTGATGGTTTCTTCTCCCAACATAGCCAAAAAAATACCACAGTCAACTATTATTGTCAACTCTAAATTTTGTTCTAATACACAAGCTCATATTCCTTTTGATCATGCTAATAGAAACATTTTGATGAGTAAACCAACGTATTCTTTACTCTTACTTTTTAAATGTTCTCAGGCAAAATCTAGTAACTCTGAGGGTTACAAGTTGATGATTCTCATATGTTTGGGGGTTAGTTTTGTCTCAGATATTTCGGAATAGTTTCTGTGCTGTTTTTCTTGATTCAACTAAATATTATTCCCAGATGTGATCAGTTTTTGACCCTCTTATTCTACTCTCCTTGTTCTTGACCCTTCAAACATGTTCTTACTGTGGTTCCCTTTTTTGGTCTGCCACTAATGACTATGTCTGCTTACTTAAACTCTCTAACAGGTGTTGACCAAGGTGGTCACATTTAAGTATGGTATCAAGTGATGCTTATGGTTTATGAAAAGCTTACAGAGGTGGGATGTTGTTGTTGTTATTTTATGCTGTTGAGTCGTTTCCAACACAAAGCTACTCTGTGTAGGGTTTACAAGGAGCAGCTGGTGGGTTTGAACTGTCAACCTTGTGGTTGGCATTCCAGTGCTTGTCTTACAGTGCAACACCAAGACTTACAGAGATGGAATATACTCATTAAAGTTCCATCTACTTCAGGGGGCAATTATTTCTTCCGTAAGGATTTTCTGAGATAAGTCTTATTCAATAATTGGAAAGATTGAAGTGACACAGTTGTACTGTGGGTGGAGCTTTGACATCATTCAATATGAGTTTGAAAACACGCTTGACACCCTGTTCGGCAGGGGAGTTTTGGTTACTTATTATCTTCCTTATGCTAATCACTTACTCCAGTTTTCAGCACTTTTTGAGGTCAATTCATTTGATTTTAGACAACTTTTCTTTTTCTGCAAGGACTGAAGGCAGGAGTAACTAGGAAACTTAAATAAACATAATTAAACAAAATGCTTTCAGTGGTTGTAGTACTAACTCCAGCCAATTAAAATTATTAATAGAAAAAAATATGTCAATGTCAAATCTGAGCCTGCTGCCTCTATTCCCACTTGGGTAATGAGGATTAGTTTATATTTCCTGACAAGAATACATGGCAATTCACATTTCTTCCTGAATGTTTTCCCCCTGGAACATTGAGTTAGGATCGTTTTTAGGCCATTAAAAGAGATTTTTTTTTTTTAGATTAATTCAAAATTAACTTTTAAGCCCTGCAAAAGTGAAATGGGAAGCATTTTATTTTCAAAAAGTGGAGCTTTTATTCTTTTAATGACAGAGAAAATGTTTGAATCATAAAACTCTACAAAAACATGGAATCGTTGCTAGAAACATATCAATCATGTCAAAGACGAGAACTTGAGAAGAATTAGAAATACATACTCTATTTTCCCAGCATCACCCTTGATGACAATAGAAAAATAATTTTATGTAATACTTTATCTTTAACCTTTAAGATTATCTTTGTACGCTGCTTAAATGAAATAAGTTTTTTTTAATTATTCAAAATTCCATGTAAAGAAGTTGTACACTCTTTCACTCATTTTAGCTTCACTGTTTTTTTAACATAAAAAGTACTTAACTTAAAAAGGACAAGTATTTTAAGTCTGGTCTCTTCAAAATGATCTCTGTATGCTGCCTAAATGAAGTAAGTTTTTTTTTTTTTTTTTATTAATCAGAATTCCATGCAAAGAAGTTATACACACTTTTGTTCATCTTAGCATCACTGTTTTTGAACATAAAAGGTACTTGAGGCAAAAAGAACAAAAATATTTTAAGTCTGATCTCTTACTGTTTTAGTATAATGATATAATCAATAATCAGGAAGTTTGGAAATACGCAGAGATGTTGCTAGGTCTGATACACTAGCAAGTTTCTCTGAATTAGCATTTGATCTTTTATTCTAAATATCCCTACCATTTCTGACTCCTCTGCCTTTTCTTCAGTAAAACTGCACCACACACTGGAAAGGAAAGATACAAACATTTATTTGTATAATGTTCAGGGATAGTACAAATAAGACAGTTGGCCATGGACCCAATGGGAGTCTCTGAAATGAGAACGCTGTTTTCTTCAGTAGAAATGCTGACCTGACAATGTGAATTTATCAGGTAGATGAGTTTCAATAACTTCCTCTGAGTAGCACTGAGAATGCTAGCTGAGATTCTTGACATCCATTTGTTAGGTGTATTTCAGGCAAGAAGTGAGCTATACTTGAGCTATTTAAAGCCTGGGGAAATAACTCACTTATAAGCAACTTAAAAGTTGCAAGCTAACCATCAGTTTGAAGTTAACATACAGTTATTAAAAAAAAAAAAAGTTGGGGCAAGTTTTCTCCTGTCCTGTGTAAAATAAATAGTGCACATTTGTTTTTTGTTTTGCTTTATGAAACTTACCTGCTAAATTGTATTGAGATATTAAAAGGAAGTGTTTTGCATTAGCCTACCTCCCTGGGGAACCAATACTGAGGTTCTCTGAGGTGGCCAAGCCCAGCTTACTGCTCTCTACCCTTTATTGCTTTCTTGTTAGCTTGCACATTTTATCTACACTAAATATTCTATAATAAACTCCACCATCTGGGCTATAGGGTAGTTTGTATTGTTTGTGGGCTCTGTCAGGGTTGACAGAGGTACAAAGCTAAATGTGTGACATGGTGAAGAATATGAATACATTTGAATAATTTGAGTATTCAATCTAACACTTTGCAAAACCATTCTGAATGATCACACATCCCACAACACTTCCAAGAAACAGATAGCTTCATTTATTTCAGGTGGTGGCTGGGGTATTTTGAGTGAGAATTGACATCTCATCTCTGGCCCTTAGCTGTCTGATCTTGAGCAAACTATATCAAGGCACTGAGCCTCCGGTTCTTTATTTATAAAATGAGACTGATAATTTTTGTCACTACTATTTAGACACTTTAAAATGTTAACTGTAAACCCTTAATTGAACCGAGTATATAATAACATTATATATTCAGTCTCATAACACATTCTTGTTAACCACAGAGGGTCCAAGCAATGAAACTGTTTATAAAGCTTTCTCTTTTCAAAAATGAATGTTAGAGTGTTTAGAGAAATTCTTATAGGAGTAAACTTTAATAATTATTAGGTCACACCCCTTTGAGATTACAGAAAAATGTACACATACCTAAAACTACCCACAAAATTGGGGGAAGGGATGGGAAAATTGCTCTGACATTCATTCATGCACCTATTGAGAAAGGGTTTCTCGAAGTGTTATTTCAGATTGTTTGCATCCGATTGCTTGGGGTGAGTGCTTGTTAAGATGCTAGTTCCTGGATTTAACTCCACCCCATTTCGGGAGGAAGAGCCTGCATTTTAACACACTCCTAAGAGATTTGTGTGCTTCTGGGAGATCCTAGTACCTCACGTTAAGTACTCCTGACTTAAAACATTGTTCTCATTCTCAATTTTAAGACCTGCCGTAACTCCTACGAATTGTTTGAACTAATAGGAAGAAAATACAGCTTTAAAGCAGAACGCCACTGTTGAAAGTTGACAGTGCTCGTCAAATGATTAATTGAAAAGGGTCCTCTGGATCCTAGCCACTTAAGTTCTCTCTTGGGGTCTTAGCTAATACCAAATGAGAATCCGAAAGACCATTTGCTATCTGCTAACCCTTGGGTGGAGGTGGGACTTGAGGGGAAGGGAAGCTGGTGAACTGAACCAACCCTACTTCCCCACTCGGATTAAAGCAGAAGGTTTTTTATTTACCGTTGCTGCCCAGGTTCATTATTAAAAGGATTGGCTTATGTGTATATGTTTGCTAGGGCTGAAAGTGAAAACATCTGCAAAAGCATACAATGCCCTGGAACGGAACTCTTCTAATAAAAGATGTATCATTTTAAATGCGCTGAATTTTGATTCTGGTAATTCGTGCACTAGAGTGTCTATTTCGAGGCAGCGGAGGTATCATATGACAGCGCACGTCAAGACACCGTGGAGCCCTCTCGTGGACTCCCACCCACTTTCCCATTCACAGCAGAAAGGGCTGCTCACGCTGCCTCCCCCCCCCCCCCCTCGGCGAGCTAGCATGAAATCTCCCTGCCTCTGTCGAGATCAAATGGAACTCCTCGCTCAGGGGGTGCGAGTATTACCTCCGCCATGCAATTTCCACTATCAATAATTTAACTTCTTTGCTGCGGAACAGAAGGAGTGCATACAGGGCACCAAAGACTTCCCCCTCCCCTTCTTTTTAAACGAAGGGAGCGTGGGAAAAAAAAAAAAAAAAAAAACAAGACTGGGAGTTTTCGGGCTGAAGTCTCCCCCTGAGCAGCTGCCTTGATGTTTACTTTGACAAGTAGTAACTGAAAAGGTGGGTTTTCTTTCGTTCCGTTTTGCTGTTTGGTCTGATAGAAGCGTATGGCTTTAGTGAGGTCTGTCATTGCCTCGGCTTCCTGACTGGAGCAAGTAACTTAGTGTAACGTTATCTAGGGGCGTTCATTAATAAAAAATGCCGTTATTATCTTGATTGAATTCCTATTAGGCAAACTCCAGAGAGGTCAGTGCGAGAACTCTGTTTAAGTCGGCGTGTTTAAGGCAGCTGAGTAAGCCCACAGCCCCTATGCCGAGTGCAATTTCATTGTGTGTTCGCGTTTGCTAGGCTCCGTCGTGAGGGAAGGTGCGGGAAGGTGTGTGTGGCCCGGGAAACGCACACCATCTCTCGCAGAACTTGGGTGCCGGGATGGTGGGAGGGGTTGCCAGAGAAGGGAGCAAGCCTTCGGGGGCGTCTGATAAGCACACGATCCCTTCGAGTTGCCGTGGTAGGGCATGGGACGCGGGGTTCCCAGGGACTCGGGCTTCTCAGCCTCCGGGAGCTGTGGTCGCAGCGCTGGCGTCCTGCCGAGGCACCCAGGGCGGACGCGGGGCTCGTAGGGCGACGTTGCGGGTCCGGAAGAGACCAGAATTAGGGAGGGCGGCTCGCAGCTAGCTGGCGGGGGAAATACCCGGGCTGAGACGGGAGGGAGGAAAAGGCGCAGCGTTCCCTTTAAGCGGCCGCCCCGCACTGGTATCGGTAGCGCGGACGAGCCGGGTGGGGAGAGGGGGGCGGTGCCGCCTGACCAATCGAAGCTCTACCGAAGAGCTAAATAATGTCTGACCCAAGCGCTAGGCTCAGGCAGGAGATCCGGTCTCTGCCGCCGCCGCGCCCGGGCGCAGCCGCCCGCTCGCTGTCCCGCACTCGGTCGCGCCGCGGGATCCCGGGCGGGGCCGAGGAGCCGGACCGGCGCGCTCCTTACCGCCCCTTTGGGAAGCTTTGAAGGAGATACTTGGACCACAGCTGCCAGCGGTGTTGTGGGATTGGCGTGGAACGGCACCAGGACGGGGATTAGGGCTGGGCGCAAGGGCCAGAAACAGGACAACGATGTGACGTCCCCGCTGGGGACCCGTGAGCTTTGTGTGGACCCCGAGGTAGGAAGGCGCCGGGCGCGGGGCTTGGCGCGGGAGCCACCCGTCTGCGGGTGAAAGTTAGCTAGTGGAGCCCGAAGTTGTGGGAAGAGGACCGAACTCCTTGTTTCTTCCCTTCCGGGAGAAGAGTTTAGGAAATGCTCTGAGACCTTTTTCCCATCCCACGAATCAGGAGCAGCGAGACTCTGGGAGAGGAGAGACCCCCGGGAAGTCCTGAAGCGGGACGAGAAGGCCTAGGAGAGACCTAGCGCTGCGAGAGTGCCGGGTCGATCCCTCCCCCGAATTGGAAGAGCCCGGAGCCAGATCTGGTGCTCTGGGTGTCAGGAACTCCGACGGAAGTGAGTGTAGCGGGCTGAGATAGAAATTCTTACCGGCTGAGTGGTCCCCACGCGGATTTGGGGGACCTTCTGTGCCCTCAGCTCTCCTCCCGGGACTGGAGCCCAGTTTTACACGGTCACCTGTTCCCAAGGAGTTGAGACTGAATCGGACTTAAAGTCCAAGGCCAAAGTAGCTTTGAAAACTTGGGGCACTCCTGCCGCTCGCACCTAAAGGGGATGCGGGACTCCCAAGGCTAGCCTAGCTCGCCTCATACCTTCCACCCGCGCCCCGCCCTTGGGCACCATCCTTGGCAACAAGTTTTGCCTTTCGAGAGTAGGTGGGAACTAAGAGGGTCCAGGAGACCAAATCCTTGGGAAAGAAATAGCTGGGGGGGCGGGGGGGGAGGGTGTCAGTGAAAAAGAGGAAGTCCCTCAAAGAGATGGATTGACAATGGGCTCAAACATTGCAAAGATGTGAGAATGAGCAGGACCTGGCAGTATTTAGTAATGTTGTGCACAGTGTCGCTATGAGCCGGAACCCACAACAACAACGGGGTTTGGGGCTTTATCCCAGACAGGAGGTATTTGGAAGTAGCACACTTGAGTTACCACCAAGAGGAGAAAGCTTCGGCTGCGGGGTGAACAGGAGTCGCGGTGGAAGGATGTAGCATTTGTGTATTGGGGGTGGAGCGCGGTGGAAAGACCCGCGGATGGGGGCTTGGTGGAGGAGGAGGAGGGGGCGGGGAGAACCGCGCTTGGGAAGGTAGATGGTGCCCCCTGCTGGTCACGTTGCAAAGCGCAGCTTTGCGGGTGGGAGCGTTGTAAGGAATGGCTTTTGCGAGATCCCTTTGGGAGCTGTACGAGGAACTTGTTGAATGATACTTTCTGAGTTTTGCTCCCCGAGGCTTACGGCTTGGATGGATATTGACTCCTCGCGCCTCTTTTTTTTTTTTTGCAATGCTTAAAGTATTCCTCAGGTTGGGAGAGTTTTGTTTGACAAGCCACTGTTGGTAGTGGGTTAGCCACCTCCTGAATCTTATTTTGTGGTCCTGTATTTTACCGTGGAGCTCTGGTAGCGTGGTGGGCTATGAGTTGGGCTGTTCAGCGCAGTTTGAATCTACCAGCAGCTTCAGGGAGAAAGATGAGGCTTTTTGCTCCTTGAAGATTTATAGCCTCGGAAACCATATATAGGTTCACTATGAGTTGGAAAGATTCCAAGGCACACAACCTCCACCACCAAGTATTTTACCACTCTGAATGCGCCGGATCTCTCCTCTGATTCGGCGCTGAAAAGGAGTTCTCATGTGGCACTGTAAGATAAACACCGCAAAGTCGGTGGTTCAAACTTAGCAGCTGCTTCTGGGAACCCCTATACTCAGGGTCGCTACAAATCGGAACCAACTGGACAGTACTAAACAAAATAAAGTGTCTTAACACTCACTTCTCAATATTAGCAGCAATCAGTGAAGATTTTGTGACAAGAATGCTGGAATGTTCTTGGCCAGAAGCAAAGAAAAACATGATTTCTGGGTGTTTATTAGTTAGGCTGACTCGATGGCACTAACAACAACACTTATCTTTGAAAGCAAAGCAATCTATAATTGTGAACTTTGATATTTAATTACATATGCTATTAAAGGAGACCCCAAACTGGCTCAACTTGGAAAATTCCCCTTTTGTTTATATTTAAAAATACTTTATATGAGTTTGTTATAAGGTCTAATACCATTTTTGTTCTTTTATTTTTATTAACAAAATTTTTTTTTTACTTGAGAAAAAATTACAGATTTAATTAGGCTAAGCATGGGCACTCTCAATCAATGTTTATTTCATGCAGCAGCATCATTATTAGACTGGAGGTGTCTGAGATTATGAAACATAGTGCTTCAAGTTGTTACATACAATAGATTACATGCTTTGCAGGAAATTATACTAGAAAGTTTGGATGCTGGGAAAGGCACCCTTTAAAACAATACATAATATTTTGTTGTTAGATTTACCATGTTTAGCATGTTGCTAAGTGTCATTCAGTTGGTTCCAACTCACAGTGATCCAGGATAGAGTTTCTGAGGCATGTTGGTGGAGGTCAGCAGTCCATTGTTTACCCTACCGCACCACACTAGAACCCCTGGTTTAACATAGAGGTAAGAGAAAGGAAAGAGGCACTTGTTGAAATGTAACCATAACATTTACTGGAATTTAAAACATGTTGGTTACCATTACTGGAATTCCAAGGCCATAAAGTCATCTTTTTTCTTTGGCTTTATTTTGTAAAATGTGATAAATAAGTATTATAACAACAGAACATTATGTATGTAGAACTCTTTTAAGTTATTACAGAATATTTTCTATTTATAAATGATCTAAGTAGAAATAATTTTCAGATAAACAAGACTTGCATACATGTTTTGAAGCTTTAGAACATTGCAGACACACTTAGACATCACATTTTTTTGGAAGCAAAACAACAGTAATTTCTTACATACCTTTGAAGCCTTTCATAGTCCATTCAAAGCTGAGCTAGTTACTTGAAACCGTGTTTATTTTAAAGTAATAATTAAAGCCATTTTCATGTTAAAATGTATAGTAGATCCAGAATTGAATATCCAGAAAGTAAAGCATTTAGGAAAACTCTTTTAGAAGGTTCTTTTTAATGTTTATAACTTTTACTTGCAAACCAAGGCCACAAGAAAATATTCACTTTCCTAGAATGCAGTGATCTCTCACAATGATTCATTATTACTATGTGAGTTAATTGCTTAATTCTGTTGGTTCATTTTGAATGGGGGTAGGGAAGTCCTGTGGATCATGCAAATTTCTAAAATCCTGTTTCAGAAGCCTTGCCTCTTCTGTTTAATAAGGGTACGATTAGAATGTAAGCTATTCCCTTCTTCCTGGAATTGTTAAGCACTCCAGCTTTTCAATAGTCAAAATGAGAATGATTGATAATCTTTCTAACATAAATAGCTTTGGTTTGTAGTTTAGCACACATAGCAAGTTTAACACGCCCACCTAATAGTATAGCAAAAAGCTTGTTTACATTCATCTTTAAAGCCTTTTGTAAATATCCTTCCCCCCACCCTTCCCTCCCTCCCTCCCTCCTTCTTACCCTCCCTAACACACACTGTTACACACACACAGAGTTCTACATCTAGGTATTGAATTTATCTTACCCAGCTAGCAGCTTTGGGTTTCAATAGATTTTAAGATAAGCACTGGACTGCAGTCCATAGGGTTGGTAGTTCAAACTCACCAACTGTTCCCTGGAAATCGAATGTAAGGTCGTTATTGATGGTGGCACTTAACAAGCAAAGTGGAAAGATTTTATACAAGTCGTTCATTAACATTTCCAAGTTTAGGAAGTTAGTCTTGGAGGAGAGAGAAAAGCAGTTTTAGACTTCCTGAATGAAAACGGGGAGTGTAGGGTAGCTTTCCTCTGAGTACCTTTTAAAGTGAAAGCCACAAGAATAGTTTCTTTTGGGGGTAATGAAAAATGTTTGAAATTTTACTGTGGTGATGTTATTGCACACATCTGTGAATATACTAAAAGTCATTAAATTGTATGCTTTAAGTGGGTGAATTGTAAGGCAAT